GGTCGAGGCTATGGTGGCTGGGAGCGGCCACTGCACTCCAGTCTGGGCAACAGAGTGAGATTCCAACTCAAAAAAAAAAGAACTTCATCCTGGGACCGCCTTCCCCCAATCCCTGATCTGCCCATCTTAGACTCTGGCCCCTGGGTCTATCAGCCAACCTCTCCTCTCTTTACTGATATTCATCTTTCTTTCTTCTTCTAAGTTGGACTCTCTCCGAAACACCTGGCAGCTTCTCTGTACCTAGTCTGTCTGTCTCCCTATTGCTCTAGCTCTGGGCTCCACATCCATCCCTCTTCCTTTGACTGCCTGTCCACCTGGTTCTCCAAGCCTGACTGTTTATAGCAATAATGATTATCATCATAACAATGATGGCAACCGCCCAACAACTAAACACTTTCTTCTTCCAGCACTTCATTCTTCCAGGAATTCTATAAGGAAGATGCTGTTAGTATGTCCATTATCCAAGGTCACATGGGCAGCAAGTGGAGAGATTGAATTTGAACTTCAGGTTCCAGAATCCTGCTCCCTGCCTGCCTACCTGACCCCAAGTCCACCTCCGCCAGGCTCTGCCTGGCCATCTGTCTTTCTCTCTAACTCTTTTTTTCTCTTGTTTTGAGGATCTTGACCTCTTCCGTCCATCTCTCAGTCTTTTTTTAGTTGGGGGGGGTCTCACTCTATCACCCAGCCTAGGGGGCAGCGGTACGATCACCGTTCACCACAACCTTGATCGCCTGAGCTCAGGTTAATACTTCAGCCTCAGTCTCCTGAGTAGCTGGGACTATATGTGTGCACTGCCACACTTGGCTCATTATTATTATTATAATAGTAGCTCAGTCTGTAATTCCAACACTTTGAGTCAGTAGCTCAGTCCGTAATTCCAGCACTTTGGGAGGCAGAGGTGAGTGGATTCCCTGAGCCTGTGGGTTCAAGACCTGTCTGGGCAACTTGGCGAGACCTCATCTCTACAATAAATCAAAAAATCAGCCAGGCGTGATAGTGCGTGCCTGTAGTTCCAGCTACTTGGAAGGCTGAGGCGGAAGGATCGCCGGAGCCCAGCAGGCGGAGGCTGCGATGGCCGGGCGCGGCCACTGCACTCCAGTCTGGGCGACAGAGTGAGACTCCAACTCTAAAAAAAATAAATTAATTAAAAAAAAAAAAATTAGCCGGGCACGCCTGTAGTTCCGGCTCCCTGGAAGGCTGAGGCGGAAGGATCACCGGAGTCCAGCAGGTTGATGCTGGAGTGGCCATGAGCATGCCACTGCACTCCAGCCTGGGTGACGGAGTGAGATTCCAACTCAAAAAAAATAAAGGTCTTACTATGTTGCCCAGGCTGGTCTCGAACTCTTGGGCTCAAACAATCCTCCCACCTCAGCCTCCCAAAGTGCTGGGATTACAAATGTGAGTGACCATGCCTGACCTTGGTCTGTCTTATACTACTTACCATATATCTGTCTAGTCACAAACATCTGGGACTCACCTGCCTACTTCACGGGCCTGTCTTCCCATCTTTCCTTCCTCTCTGTCTGCCCGGGAAGGTGCCATCCTGAGTCTGTGCATGCCACCCTCTCTCGCTGGGGCTGTCCACCCCGCCCCCTCTCCATCTGCTGATCCTATCCTGATGGCAGCCAGTCTGCCTCCCTGCCTTGGCCAGGCCATGTCCCACCTTACAGCCTTTGCTGTTCATGGAGTCCAGCGTCCTCTTCAGGGCAGGGGTCGGGGGCTCCAGCAGTTCCACCTGGGTCCTCACTCCCTGCTCCGTGTACGGTCCCACAAGGTAGTAGTTGTCATTCCACTCATCTCCCGTCACCTTTGCCTTCGTCTGCAGCACCGTGTAGATGCCACCCACTGTGGGCCCAACAGTGTGAGGACAGGCCCCAGTGGAGGTCCACAGACCTGGGACCTGGTGGCATGGGGGATGTGGGGGGGACTGTGGTGGAGACCCCCTGAGACTCAGGGGGGAAGAGGGAACTGGGAGCCCAAACTTTGGAGTAGGGGGTTGGAGGCTTGGGTCAAGAGGAAAAGGAGGCTGAGGGCAGTCCTGCTGGGAGAAGGGGCTGGGGTCAGGATTCAGGGAGGAGGGGGTTCAGGCTAGACTTCTGGGACTGCGAAAGGAGGGAGGAGGGCCTGGGGCTTCTAGGGGAATTAGGGGCTAGGTCCCTGAGGATGGCAGAGCTGAGGATTACCAGGACCTAGGTCCCCAAGTTCCCAACTTGCAGGAGCTAGGTTTAAATCTCAGGCAGGCTCCAGGACACAGTAGGGGAGACTGCTTCTTCATGGCCCACTCAGCTTCTCACAGTTGCCCAAGAGAAGCCTGAATCGTCACTCCCTGTCCCCTAGAGACCCTGCCGACCTGTCTCCCAGTTTCCTTTCCCTGACTAGGGACACAGGCATTCAGAGTCCTGCCCCTCCCATGACCCCACCCCAGACCCAGGAGTCCTGACCCCAGCCTCCTCACCTCCTGGAGCCCAGACTCCAGCAGCTCGTGGCTGTATGTTCGAGGACCCCCTCTCATGCTTGGAGACTTGGTCTCTTTCTCCTCCAGGGCCCAGTAAAGTAACCCCCCAGCCCCCGCTCTTCTGGGGAGTGGGACAGCCGAGCTCCTGGGGATTCTAGCCCCAATCTCCTCCAGAGCCAGAATCTCAGGCTTTTCGAAGCCGGCGACACAGAAAGGCAGGCTCCCAGCCACTCCCATCCTAGGGCCCAGCCCCTGCCCAACTTCGGACTTCCCCAGCCTTCCCCGATTCTAATACGCATGTGTCTGAGGCCACAGGCACCTCTACTCCTAGGAACGGAAAGCTCAGGCCTTCAGCTCCTTCAGAGCCTAGGTATTCAGGTCCCCAACTTTCTCCCACCCTAGGACCTAAGAATTAGGAACTCCAGCCCCCTTCCCAGGACGACTCAAACATCCTATCTCCTGGTCAGCGCTCTCCCAAATCTGGAATTACATCTCCTAGGCCACTTCTCCCGGGACACGGGTCTGAAACCCAGGTTAGCACACAGACGTCCCATCCCCCCACCCCTTTCCTTGTTCGGGATCCAAGTAACTGGTCTCTCCGAAGCCTCCAGGACCTAGGAATGTTCCGTTTTAGCGCCGTCTCCCCTAGGACCCAGGACTTGGGCTTCCAGCCTCCTTTCCTCTTAAGACAAGCGATCGTCCCCTCCCCCTCGGCCCCTCCCCAAGGACACAGGAGTCACAGGCTCCTCGCCCAAGACCCGAGGGTCCCCATGTAGCCCGGTCTCCCAACAACTCAGAGTTCCGCGTCCCCATCCCCGACTTGCCCTTCTCGTCAAGGACCCCGACGGCTGGCGTGCTCACCCTTGTTGGCCACCTCCCAGGCCACCTCGAAGAGCACCGTGTTCTCCAAGTCGAACTCATCCTCCCAATCCTCCAATCCAGGCAGTGAGGACACGGACAAAGTGCGGTTTAGAGGCATGGCTGGCGCGGGAAGGGGGCTCCGAGGAACTCAGGTGGGGACCCCGGAGGTGTCCGGAGAATGCACCAGGTAGGGTGCGGGGCCGGATAGCTAGTCCCCAACGGGAAGTTTGCAATCCGCTCGGCTTCCTATTGCACGACCGCACCCCCGTCCGGGAGCGCACGGACCTAGGCAGGAGGCGGCCGCAGCGTCACTGAGCAAGGTGGCGCTCCTGCAGTGAAATCTTGCGGCCGCCAGGAGGCGGTACCCGCCCCCCAGCCAGCGCCATTGGTCCCCGCCCGGGGGCGGGGGCTTCCGCGTCTCCTCATTGGTGAAGAGGGTTAGGTTCGCTCCGTCCCGCCGCCGCCCTGGCCGCGGGGGACGGGGCCTGGCTTTGCGCTGAACGAAAGCGATTGGCCTTCAGCTCTGTCAATCTGAAGCTGGCCCCAAGGTGGGGAGGGGAAGGGTGGGATGCAGAGGAAAGGAGCGTGGAGGACGTGTGGATACTCAAAGAACTGCTAACGATTTTGCAATAGGCTACAGCAAGGGGGGCTGGGTAAATGGAGGAGGAGCCAGGAGGCGTTGAGGATGGACCCAGGAGCTCCGGACGCCCGTCTTCCCCATTCTCCTCTATGGGGGCGTGGCCTAAAGCGTGTCGCCACGCCCCCACAGGGAGGTTTACATATTCATGACGATCCATCGAGCGCTTCGGAGGACCTGCTAGCCTAGAGGGGCCAGAACACCTCGCTCCTAGCGCGTTTCCGTTTCCGCTAGGACATTAGCGGTTGGCGAGCATCATGGCAACCGTGGTAAGTGCTGGCGTGCAGAGGTCTGAAGGGCCAACCTGCACTGTCGAGTCTGAGGGAGGAGGGAGCTGGAAGCCTGACTCCTGGGTCTGAGGGAGGAGGGGGACGGGGACTGGGTGCTGGACTCCTGGGTCTGAGGGGAGGAGGGAGCTGGGTACCAGGGCTCCTGGGTCTGAGGGAGGAAACAAAGAAATGGCTGGGATCCCGGAATCTCAGATCTGATCCCCATCGTGTTATAGAAACTCCCAGAATCCTCTGAACGCAAAGGGCAGTTCCACAATCCTTGGCTCCAGTGTATGAGGGTTGGGATATCTGGGTTTCAAGCCATTTGGGAGCCTTGGATTTGTGGTGGTGCTGATGGCAACTGAGTTCTAAGGTAGAATCACAGGCAGGGACGTCCTGTGTGCTTTGAGAGCATGAAGACACTTAGAGAGCCTTCAGTGGACAGTGTTGAGAACCAAGAGGGTGTCAGTGGGCAGGGGGAAAGGATTGGGGTCCTGGAGGTCAGGATCTTGTCGGACTATTTTGGCCTTTTTCCTACTTCCAGCCCCACGTAAGGGGCGTGTCTCACTCCGTGTGAGTACTCAGTAAATTATCATTTGAGTGTTTGAATGAATGAAGGAGGGAAAGATCAGGAAGGCAGGACCTGGCACCTGCTCAAGACATATCTGAACGAAGAAGGGATGGGACCTGAACTTGGGGTTGGGCTTCCAGATGCCTCAGTTACTGTAGTGACCCCAGTCAAGATGGAGGAAGGATGAGGGGAGTGGCTAGGGGTGAGATTTGAGTTTATTGCTGTTACCATGGCGAAGAGGAGGATCTAGATAGGGAAGAAGAGGAAAGGGAAGTGACCAAGACTCTTGCAGAGGAGGTGTTGGAGTTACGAGGGCATGGTAGATGCTGGGTTTTTGTTTTTGCTTTTTGTTTGTTTGTTGTTGTTTTTTGAGTTGGAGTCTCACTCTGTTGCCCAGACTGGAGTGCAGTGGCACACTCCCGGCCACTGCAACCTCTACCTGCTGGGCTCCGGCGATCCTTCCGCCTCAGCCTTCCAAGTAGCTGGAACTATAGGCGCGTGCTAGCAGACCTGGCTAATTTTTGATTTACTGTAGAAACGAGGTCTCGCCAAGTTACCCAGGTGGGTCTCAAACCCATGGGCTCAGGCAATCCACTTGCCTCGGCCTCCCAAAGTGCTGGGATTACAGACTGAGCTACCGTGCCCGGCCAGTTTTTGCTTTTTGAGTTAGAGTCTCACTCCAACCAGGGAATGCCTCTTCTCTCTGGAGTCAAGAGTTTAGACTTCCTGGCCACCACCACATGGTCACAAACTTCCCTTGCTATATGACCCTTAGGAGCATGGAACATTAACCCCATACTACTACTAGAAGACTGGGAAAACCCCATCCACAGCCACCACCAGCACAGGGTCAACGCCATCCTATGCAGGGCAAAAAAAGGGACATGGATCAGAAATCCCTAATTTAGCTCTTCCAACATAAACAGATCCCCACTTTTTTTGTGGGTCGGAGTCTCACTCTGTCACCCAGACTGGAGTACAGTGGCATGCTCATGGCTATCACAACCTTGACCTGCTAGGCTCAGGTGATCCTTCAGCTTCAGCGTTCCAACTAGCTGGAACTACAGGTGCACGCCACCATGCCCAGCTACTTTTTCTTGATTTATTGCAGAGATGAGGTCTCGCCAATTTACTCAGGCTGGTCTCAAAACCCTAGACTCAGGCAATCCTCTCATCTCTACCTCCCAAAATGCTGGGATTACCAGTGTGAACTACTGTTCCTGGCATAAACAGACCCTTTATCCAGGACTGTCTCCTGTAAGGACTGCTAACTGATCCCATGACAACTGAGGTCATTAAAAAACCCAGCACCAACTGGGCCTGGTAGCTCAAGCCTGTAATCCCAGCACTTTGGGAGGCTGAGGCGAGTGGATTGCCTGAGTTCAGGGGTTTGAGACCAACCTGGGCAACTTGGTGAGACCTCATCTCTACAATAAATCAAAAAATTAGCCAGGCTTGGTGATGCGTGCCTGTAGTTCTAGCTACTTGGAAGGCTGAGACAGAAGGATCGCCAGAGCCCAGCAGGTTGACACTAGGGTGACTGTGAGCATACCACTGCACTCCAGCCTGGGCGACAGAGTGAGACTCTGACTCAAAAAAAAAAAAAGATTTGGGATACATTTTAGGATATGGTGGGTTCTTAGGCTTCCCTTTCCCTACTAGAAAGTATTTAAAAGCCAAAGTGTCAAAATAATGTAACAGACACAAAGTAATGTAACAGGATCCACCCCCAGGGTTTTGTGTGTCTGTGTGTGTGTCTCCCAGGCTAGAGTGTAGTAGCATAATCATGGCTTACTGCAGCCTCAGCCTCCTGGTCTCAGGCGATCCTTCCACTTCAGCCTTCCAAGTAACTGGAACTACAGGCATGCCACCACACCCGGCTAATTTTTTTTTTTATTGTAGAGATAAGGTCTCTCCAAGTTGCCCAGGCTGGTCTTGAACCCGTGGGCTCAGGCAGTCCTCTCACCTCAGTCTCCCAAAGTGCTGGGATTATAGGAGTGAGCCACCACACCCGGCTTCATTGCTTCTTATGGCTGAATAATATCCCAGTGTGTGGTCAGACCATATTTTGTTTATTTGGACATTTGGGTTGTCTCCCCGCTTTGGCTTTTGTGAATAGTGCTGCTGTGAACATTTGTGGGAGGGGGGTGCTTCCTGAATTGTCCCAGGAGGTGTTTACTCCCCTCCCTCTCCCACATGGAATTGATGATGGCCACTCCTCTCTTTGAGAACTGATGACACAGGAGGTGTCCACAGTCCCAAGGCGAACAAGAGAGATGCGGGTTGTGCCCTTTACAGGACTCACACCCACTGAGAACATGAGTCCAGCAGTCTCTTTTGTGAATGTGAGATTGCACAGGAAGCTCCAGCACCCAAGGGAGACTCTTCATCTATCTGAATGTACAGAGGCCTAGAACTAGCCTGGCAGGGGTGGTGACCAGAGGGGGCCTTCTTTAAGGGGCGATGCTTGATCGAATTCAGTAAGGGGCAGGAGAGCAGGCTGGACTGAGTGACCCACATGTTCAAGCCTCATGGCTGAGAGTGGGCAGGCAGGGTGCAAGGGACATCAGGAAATTAGAAGAGGCCAGACGGTGTCCAACTCGCTGCCTGCTCTGCATTGGTGGCTGTCTTTATGGAGCTCACAGTTGTTAGAGATGAGAGGGCCTTCATTCATTCACCAGATAATACATGCTGGACCCTGAGGCCAGAGCTGTAAAGGAGCCAGACAGTCTTTGTCTTCCTGGGATTCAGCCAACCATTAGTCAATGACAAGTGAAGGGTAGGAGTGACTGGTGTTTGGCCTGTCGCCTGCCTGTGAGAGGAAGGTGTGGACAGGACTCCCTCAGGGGAGGGCCAGAGGAGGAGTTGGTGAAAGTCGGGAGTCTTCTGACATGTCTTCTGCCCCTTAGGCGGCCACGACCAAAGTCCCAGAGATCCGAGATGTGACAAGGATTGAGCGGATCGGTGAGTGAGGGGGGAATAAGAGCTAGACCCTGCCTGCCATGTGACTGAACAAAACTATCCTGACTAAACAAAACTATTCAGGACCTCTGAGTGGGGGAGTGGCCTGTACACCCCCCATCTGATGTGGGTGGAGTATCCTGAGTTCCAGAGTTGGCTCAGATGACATATTGGAGGGGGGACTTTGCTGTCCCCAACCCCAGGCTGTACTGCTGCTAGCTTGGCTACCCTGGCAGGGCTCCTGGGTAAACCTGCCTGGAAGTCATAGAAGTGGTATTTGCAGGGTGCTTTATGGGGTGACCCCATATACCCAGCACACACTGGGGCATGAGCTCCCTGAGGGCCCAGATGTAATGTGTCTTGTTCGCAGCTGTGTCCCCAAACAGGACCTGGCAAGGCAGAAGATCAACAGGTGACCATCAAACTTGGGTTTGCGTCCCGTTGAACCCTGGCAATAGCCCCATTAGGGGCATGCTGTAACTGTCACTGAGGCAGCCGAGTCTCAGAGCAGCCGAATCACTGGCCCCAGCTCACACGGGTTAGGAAGTTGAGGCAGCGGGTAGGCCAGGGGATGGGCAGGGCCATCAGGGCACAGCTCTCAAAGAGCTTTACTTGCAGGTAAGGACCTGCACTGATTTATTCAGCAGGCTCGCTTTGTCAGTGCCTCTGGGAGAGGCATAAGGGGCTTGTGGCTCTGAATGTGGGTTCTAGAAGCTCATTGCTGCCTTCTTTGTGATCAGCTCTGCCACTTGCCAGACATATGGCCAGGGACTGGCTGCCCTCTGCTTCAGTTTCCTTATCTGTAAAATGAAACTCAGATTATTTACCTCATTAGTTAAGATTCAGTAGGGTAATCTGTATAAACACTTTGTGTGTGTGTGTGTGTGTGTGTGTGTGTGTGTGTGTGTGTGTGTGTGTGTACGCATGCACTCACACATGCACATACATGTGCCAATAATGTTTTACTTATTAGGATTTTTTTTTTTTTGAGTCACAGTCTCCTTCTGTCACCCAAGTTGGAGTAGAGTGGCACACTCACAGCCAACGCAACCTCGACCTGCTGGGCTCAGGCGATACTTCCACTTCAGCTTTCCAAGTAGCTGGAACTACAGGCATGCGCCACCATACCCAGCTAATTTTTGATTTATTATAGAGATGAGGTCTTGTCATGTTGCCCAGGCTGGTCTTGAACCCATGGGCTCAGGCAGTCCTCTCGCCTCCACCTCCCAAAGTACTGGGATTACAGGCTTGAGCCACCACG